GGTGGCTGCGATGATGGGATCAAGTATAGCAGGGATTGTGGGGCTGGCGCGGGATCGGGCAGTGTTTCGTTCTGCTGTGCATGGGGTTGCTATGAGTCGGAAATGACTCGACGGCACTTAACAACAACAACAACACAGCCTGAAATGAGACATGTGAGAGAGATCCCACAGGGCTAAGGATGGCAGGCATTCCTACCTTAGAGAGAAGCTGTTTAATAAACATGCTGTCATAACTTTGTTTTGTAGAGATTCACTTGGGAAATGGGAGTTTTAACATTGAAAGGGAGAACCTTAGGCATAGAAGGGAAGGGCAGGCCTGGATGCAGTGATACAGTGCATGGGAAGGGACTTTATAGCAAATAAAGGGAGATGAGAGGCGTGCTAAATTGGGGCCACCAACAGTGGCCTCGGAGGACACCAACAGGTATATAGTAGGGATAAGGGCTTTGGGCCTGGCAGATCTGGCTATCCCACTTAGGAGTTGTGAGGCCTTTTGGAATCTCAGATTTCTTATTTGGTGACAATACAGGGTTCTAGTAAGGATTAGAGACACTGAATGTGAATGTCTTGTAATGTCAGTGATGGGTATTATTATTAATCCACTTTTCTGTCGTGCCTCAGGTCAACCTGACCCCCTGATCCCATTTAATTCATTTAATCTTTGGGACACTGCTATGAGATAGCATAACAATAACTATTATTAGCCCCATTTTAGAAATGAGGAAACTGAGGACAGGAAGTAACCTGCCCCAACACTGCAGAAAAGAAGTTCTCTGCCCTTCCCAAGTCCTTTCCTAATTCAAGGCCACTGTTCTTTCACTAGGGACCTCCCCTGTCTGATATTGTCAGATGAGCTGAAGAAGGATGGGCCCTGGATCATGGCCATTGCATTGTTCCCCAAAACCAGGGGGACCCCTTACCATGCTGAATTTGCTCTAAGCCTGGGATTGTGCCTGGCAAACAGAAGGTGTGCTTGGTAATATTTTGTGAAGTGTGTCAGGTGGCAGGCAATCAGTCAAATGCACTGACTCACCTTATCAAACCCTCTGACTCCTCCATGCAGACTGTTGGGCCCATTGTTGGCAGCCAGCTTGTACTCCTTCCCATCCAATGTGAATGTTCCTTTGGCAATTCGGTTGGCCACCCTCCCAACCACTGCTCCAAAGTAGGGCTGCTTTTGGAGGTACCCTGCAATGACATGGGATGATAGCATTTTTTTAAAAGATTTTAAACAACGTATGAGGCTCACACTGCTGCCTACCACTTCCTTCTGAGGCATGCTACAAGCAGGAACAATTTGGGCAAATCAAAGACCTCGTGGAAACAGAAAAATGGTGTTCTTGACACATAATCTTTTTCCATTCCCCAAAGTAGTTCAGGTTCATTGTAAACAAATGTAAAGAACTTTATAAAGAAGAAAGAAAAAATTCAAATCATCCTTATCTCATCACCACAGAGAACCATTAATATAATTCTTATGACTATCCTTCTAGTTTTTAATTACATTCCTACATGTGCTTTTTTTTTCCCTTTTAATAAAACTGGGCTCTTAATATATATGTGACTCTGTAATCTGCTTTAATCTAGGCCAATCAATTTTCTTAATGCTTTTGTATAGTCTTGAGAGGAAACTATTTTATCCTTTTTCCTCTTGAAAATTTAAAAAAGGCATACAATTAAGACATAAAATATCCTTTAAAGAGAGTGAAATAACCCAGAATTATATAGAGTAGTGTAGCCAGATGAAATATAGAAAAGCCAGTTAAATTTTAACTTCAGAAAGAAAATAAATAATTTTTTAGCATATATATATCCTACATTATTTTTTAGTATAACTGCGCCCATATTAGGAGCCCTGTTGGCCAATGGTTACACACTCAGCTGCTAACAGAAAGACTGGGAGTTCAAACCCACCAGTGCCTCTGCAGGAGAAAAGACCTGGTGATTTACTCCTGTAAAGATTACAGCCGAGAAAACTCTATGGGATAGTTCTACCTTATAGTGTCACTGTAATCAGAAGTGATTTACTGGCACATATCAACATGCAGTGAGTTGGGGTTGTTTTTCAATCACAAATACCAATATACAAACACACACAGATCTTATATAAAGAGGATCATGCTATACACATTATTTTAGAACTTTTTTTGTTTTTTTAATCAAATGTCAAGATTTCTCCATGTCAATACATATTAATTTACTATATTCCTTTTGATGGCTGCATGGTATATTGATTTTTTTTTTGTTTGGATATAAAAGGCAACATAGCAAGAATATCCTTGTACTTACAACTTTGATCACGTGCACATTACAGTACACTCCTTTTCTTTTTTAAAAAGTATTTTATTGAGTTTTTGGTGAAAGTTTACACAGCAAATTAGGTTCTCATTTAACAATTTCTGTACAAGTCTATGGGAGCTCTGGTGCTGTAGTGCCTAAGGCATTTGGCTGCTAACCAGAAGGCTGGCAGTTCAAACTCACCAGCCATTCCCTGCAAGGAAGGGTGGGCAATCTACTTCTGTAGAGATATCACTTTGGAAACCCAAGGGAGGGGTCACTATGAGTGAGATCTGGCTGATGGCAGTGAGTTTGATTTGTTTTTTGGTATACAATTCTATATTGCTCAGTGACTTTGGTTACCTTTTCCACATTATGTCAACATTCTCATTATTTCCATTCTGGGGTTGTTCCACTTTGCTCCTTTTCTTTAATTTCCCCTGTCACCTATATTCTTCTAGTTTAATTTACAGTGGAAGATATGAAGGTTTAGAGATAGTTTGGTTTTTTTAATATTTTCACAAAGATTTCTTTCTACTCTATTATTCAACTTAGATATTCTTGGAATTCCATTCCCTTTTCCTGTGATATTTCATATCTACTATGCCTATCGCAGATCAGCAAAAAATGAACTATTTTTACCATGGTAGGAGGGGTGCTTAGGATACAGATCCTGAACTTTTTAGCCCAGTTACAGGTCATAGGCTCGCATTACTTACTTGGCTGGATGTAAATGAATCATCAATCATTCTCTTCCAGTCCCTTCCTGGTCCACATCCTTGCTAATCTGCAGGTTTCTCAGAGTCTTGCCCATGGACTAATCATACTAGCTAAACTTAAAGCACAGCTAAGTCCCAGCCACTTTCTAAGGGCTTTACATGTAACCCATTTCCTCTTCAGGACATTTCTGTGAGGTAGAAACTATTACTAGCCCCATTTTAGAGATGGGGAAACTGAGCACAGAAAAGTTAGGTAATCAGTTTCAAAATACAAAGTTAGCAAGTGGCAGAACCAGGATTTGAACCCAGGGAGTCTGGCTCCTGAGTTTCTGTTCTTAAGCATTTTATTGCTTAGAAAGTATAGGGCTTTCCCTAGGCATAGGCCAGGCTGATCTTTTCCCACTCCAACCTCTCTCCCCCTCCTCCTCTCTCTCTCAAGCTGTAGCTGTAAAACCCCTTATACCAACTACCATAAAAAGCCCCAAAAGCCCAAATAACCACTTCTCAGTTTTGCTTCATCTGCTTTTTAGGACCTCAGAAATGTGAAGAAAAGCAGATTTTTTGTCTAAAAATTATTTGGCTATATTTGCTTTTGACTCCTACCCTGATTCATTCAACAAACGTATACTGATCCCTCACTCTGCCAGTAGCATGCAAGGCGTTGGAGACAGAGCCACAAACCCAACATCAGGACTCCTTCTCAGGAGGCTGACATGGATTTTCTCAGAAGTGACCACTTCCTGGCAACAGTTACTCAGCACATGAAGAGGTTAATTCTTTGATTTGGATGAATAGTGTATAAGGGTTAAACCTTAAAGACAGCAGAAACCATCACTCCCAACTATCTCTAAAAAATCCTTCACAGCAAATGGCTTTATATTATCTTCATATGTCACTAAGCTTTTATATCCCAGACTCACAAAGAGTGACAGCCCCCAAATCCTAAGTAAGGCATGACGAAAAAGCTTGTTCTGAAATGAAGAAAATACTGTTTTCTATGAAAGAGGCAGTTCTTAGGCCAAGCCATGAATGGTGATTTAATCAAGCCAATGGGTGAATTGGGGAGATGGGAGAAAATCAGTTATCATTGAATCAGCTCTTGCGGTGTAGTA